TTGGTCATGTTGTAAGAAGGGACCATTCCCTGGAGAAGGATGTCATGCTTGGTAGGGTGGAGGGTCGATGAAAGAGGGGGAGGCCTTCAGGGAGATGGATTGATACAGTGGCTGCGATGATGGGCTCGAGTATAGCATGGATTGTGGGGCTGGCGCGGGATTGGGCAGTATTTCATTCTGCTGTGCATGGGATCGCTATGAGTCGGAAACGACTCGACGGCACTTAACAACAACAACAACAACATGAAAGTGTTCACTTCATAGAGCGTAATACTTGAGCAGATGTATTCAAGAAAGAAAGCAAATGAAAAGGAACCTATTTATGGAATAAACTCCAGATCAAAAATCCAGTATTCTATTAAAATGCAAGAGGTTCTTACTATATTTATTAAAACTTGTAATAATGTGATTTTTCAAGGATATCAGTTCAAATTGAAATGGTTTTATGCCATGTGGGGTTCTTTAATTTATTTGTTGAGGTACCATACATGTAGGGTACTAGATGGCAAATAATGTTAATATGTTCAGTAGGAACTACTGGTTTGAATGTGTAAATGAATGCTCTGGCAACATCCAGCAAAACTATTGCTTATTCTCCAAAGAATATTGGAAGCTCTCAGGCCTCAATGACATGTGAAAGAGAACTGAGTATTTCCCCCGTAACTGAGTTTTCTATAGGAATTTTATTAAAGAATGTTTAATTTTGTTGTCCTTCTTAATGTTCGCAGTCGAATAAATGGCTGAGCTCTTGGGATGAAAAAAAAAATTGACTAAATGGCAATGAGTAGGGTCTTAGGGAAGGGCACAAAGTTAGGTCTTTGGTTACTGTGTAACAAGTAGCAGACTTTTCTTACCAATTCACTATTAATCCATACAAACATAGGTGTACATTTCATGGTTCAGGAGTTTGTGCTAAAGAGATGTACATTCAAATAACTAGCAACATTCAAAACAAAGGAAACACTAACTTTAATCTCCCATGTTGTGTAGGTTCAATGACAACTCCAGCAAAGTGGAATTCCCCTCTGAGGACTGGTGAAAAATATCCATTAATTGTATTTTCTCATGGTCTTGGAGCATTCAGGTAAAGTTTGAGAGGCTGAACAATTTTAGCCTCTAGGGATCAGTGACTGGATACATTTTTCCCCCCCCCAAAAAAAAAAAAAATGAATAGCAGGTTTTAGAGCATCATGTGGGCCCCTATCCCACAGAAGTTGGACTTCCCCAAGAATTGGTTATGGTCTACAAATGAGTCCTAGCCCTGCCCATTCAGGGTTCACGTGGTTTGTTCCCTCATGGCAATTAACCTCACAACAGAGGAAAAAGGGTGTTGCAATTTTGGTTGCTGTCCTTCTATATTATAGTATTTACACTCTCAAAATTATCCTCTGTGCTAGTTTAGGTCTTCTGAGTAGCAGACTCCAAGATTGTATTAATTGTGAAAGACATTTATTGAGGGAAATGCCTGTGAAGGATGGAGGGAAAGCAAAAGGAAAAGATGAGGAGACTTCAGACCATTACATAGGTTGTGCATCTGTGAGGGAGAGGGGGAGGGGAGAAGCATTAGATAAGAAGTGTCTCAGACTGCAGTACAATTCTATGAAAGTTTGGACCAGGCCACTGGAAAGTGTGTTTGAGACTAAGTTACTCATCAAATGAGTCCTGCATATCAACAGAAATGGGCCTGCATTAACACCCACACTGTACTCAGTTACTAGCTGGGAGCAGCCCACAGGAGGCTTAGCTTCAGTTTGAACATGGTGGTGGATCTAGAGGGGCAGAAGCAAAGTGGGGTCTTAAGTCAATTAAACTCTCTGCAACAAGTTATCTCAGAGGTACATTTTCATGGCCACCACAACTTCTGCCCTTTCTCCTACCATCTTTTCAGCTGACTCCTTTTCTTCCACCTCAGCGAATCTAAGACTTTCAGAAAATAAATGTTGGTTTTATCTGGGAAGAAATTGGGTATCACCTGTGATAGGGAATTACGTTCAGCCTTTTAACTGTGATCTCGCTGGTCATTTGATTTATACTAGACCACTGATTGTCAAATTACAGCCTGCTGCCTGTTTCTGTAAGTAAAGTTTTACTGAAAGACAGCCACACTCATTCTTTCGTATTATATATGGCTGCTTTTGTGTTACACCAGCAGAGTGGAGTAGTTGTGACAAAGATATGACCAATAGAGATGAAAATACTTAACTCTGTAGCCCTTTACAGGAAAAAAAAAAAAAAAAAATGCCAATCCCTATCCTAGGCCATCTCTCCTCCCGGAAAAGGTCCTATATCTTAGAAGTAGAATACTTAATTCCTATCTAAAAAACCCAAAAACTAAACTCATTGCCGTCAAGTCGGATCCGACTCATAGCGACCCCTCCTTGTGTTTCCAAGGTGGTATAACTTTGTAAGTAGATTGCCCAACCTTCATTCTGAGGAGTGTCTGGTGGGATTGAACTGCCAGCCTTCTGGTTAGCATTCAAATGCCTTAGGCACTATGCTACCAGAGTTCCTTAATTTGCATCTATCTCCTTTAATTCTCTGTGAACATTTCCTATTTAATGCATGATATGAGAAAAAGACTATGCAGAATGAAGACATGACAGAGGGCATAAATGCAGTTGTTTAGCACATGATTCTTTATTCTATCCAATCATTTAAATGACAGCTAATATGTGTTCAGTATTTACCCTGTTTTAGACATAGTTATAAAGCACTATAAAGCATAGTTATAAAGTTATAAAGATGTATTAAGTCATTTATACTTTACAATAATCTGATGAGGTATCATCCTTTTATAGTATCACTCTTTTACAGGTAAGGAAACTAAGGTAGAGAAAAGATAAGTCAGTAGCCCAAGGTACACAGCTAGTAAGTGATGGATCCAGGGTTCAAACCAAGGGGTTAGGCTGTAGTTTCCATTCTCTTAATCACCATACTGCACAGCCCTCTTATATACATTATCAAAATCGCTACCAGAGCTCCTATCAAAATCTTATAACTACCCTAAAGCAAAGGTTTAATTAGCCCCATTTTACAGATAATTACCTAAAGTCATATAACTTGTAAAGGGCAAGGCTAAGAATAAAACCCAGAACTGTCAAAGGTATAACCTTGTTACTATTGACATGTTGGACCAGGTAATTATTTATTGTAGGGAATTGTCCTGTTCATTGTAGGCTGTTTAACAGCATCCTTCTACTCATTGGATGCCAATAACAACAATCACCTGAGTGGTGATAATGAAAATGTCTCCAGACATGGCGAAATATCCCCTGGGGGGCAAAATGGTCCCCCCTCCTTTGAGAACCACTCTGCCCCACAGCATTATTCCAGGGGCCTGCTAGTCTCCTCATTCAGAGTTGTATTATGAACCCAACCTTGTGGTCATGTTTTTTTCATACAATATGACTAGTAGTTGAATGCTTCCCTTTCTTTGTTTTGAAGGACAATTTATTCTGCTATTGGCAATGACCTGGCATCTCATGGGTTTATAGTTGCTGCTGTCGAACACAGGTATGTCATTATCTGGTATGTAGCTGGGTTCTTTAGCCAAGTAAAGAGAATGTGAATGCCCATAACCATTCTTCTGATTGTCATAAAGAATTATTTAAAATGCTGACAGAATTGTTAACTATGATTATGTAAAGAGAAAAAAAAGAAATGTTAGATAGATATGTTAGATAGTCAAAAACTTAAAAACACCTATATTTCTAGAGTGCATAAGGTAGGCCATGTGCTATACTCAGTGTTTTCATACATTATAGCCTTTTAATTTCTATTTTCAATGTTTTAAAGAGGAGGACAATAAAGCTGAACACGGGTAAGTAAGCAGTCCAAAGTTACACAGCTAGCAAGTGGAAGCATTGAGATTTGAAGCTGAGTTGCCATCATGGCTGACAGCACCTTCCATAATAGTGAATGTAGAATGACTTGAGACTACCCACTATATTAAGGTCATTTTTTCTAGACCTCCTTTGGGAGCTTTTGGGTTTGTTTTATTTGGTTTTGTTCTTTAAAAAAGGTAGAGTAGAAGAAGAAAGGGAGGTCAAAAGATCAGAGGGAAGTAAAGTCAAGGATGCAGATGGAGGCAGCTCAGGTGGGATGAGGAAAGGCAAGAGCAAGTTCATAAGTAATAATTAATTCTCTTTTGATTATAGAGATGGATCTGCATCTGCAACTTACTATTTCAAGGACCAGTCTGATGCAATGAAAGGGGACAAATCTTGGCTCTATTTCAAAACCCTAAAACGAGATGAGGAGGAGGCACGTCTACGAAATGAGCAGGTGCATTTTAATGAGAGGAGAGGCAGTTTGGTGACCAAAAGCATATGCAAAACGATAGCATTTGCTCCTTTAATTTTACATGTAGCAGGCTATGCTCCTAGATCTCCTACTTCCCAGTCCCAAAAGATCTGTCAGGAGATTGAGTAATAAAACTTCCTTATTGAAATGTTCGATGCATAGTAAAAACAAAGATGAACACAAAAACCCTGAAAAATAACAGTGGGTGTTCAGATTTTTTTTTTTTTTTTTGCTTTTTGTTTTAGAACTTCTAATTTTAGAATTTCAAAAGTGCAAGAAAATAATTTTTTAGACTATATACCAAAATGATATAAAAAAAAGACTTCCTTTCAGAGAGGCTGCATGAAATAGTATTAAGAGAACAGACCTTAAAATGCCCCTTTCTACATTTGAATCCTGGCTCCATCACTTACCGGTGGGGTGATCATCTTAGAGAAGACACTTAGTCTTTTTGTGCTTCCCCATTTTATCTGTTATGATAACAAATGAAATAATAAATAATAAATGAAAACAGTTACTGTCTTGGGGACTGTTGGGAACATTAAGTGAAATAAAGCACACTGGCTGTCACCTTTGTGTCCTGCTCTATAATGGGTGCCTGATCTGTTACCACACTTCATCCTACCCACATTTCCTTGAAGTAGGCATTATTATGCAATAGATGGAAGCTCAGGAAGGTTAAGTAAATCATCTAAGGTCACACAGTGGGTTAGTAAGAGAGCCAGGATTTGAAATAAGATATACCCAGCTCCAAAGCAAGTGCCTGAGTCATTATGCTAGGTGGTGTTCTTTTCACTTTTGTTTAGACATTTCCAGTTTTTAATCAGACAATTGTTTACCAAACATGAAATCTGTACACAAGCTTTAAGAATTACAACTTTTTACTTTGTCATTTCCTTCTTCTGATAATCACATTTAGGTGCAGCAGAGAGCAAAAGAGTGTTCCCAGGCTCTCAATTTGATTCTTGACATTGATCATGGAAAGCCAGTGAAGAATGCATTGGATTTAGAGTTTGATGTGAAACAACTGAAGGTGAGCTTTAAAAAAGCCATTTTCCCCCTTTTCCTGTAGTTCTTTAGTGGCTGCATTTCCATTGTAATACAAAGTACAGCATGATTAAAGTCCACACACACACACAAAAGGCACCAGTAAAGTATTACAGCAATGAGGGACTCATTAGTTTGAACTATGTATGAAATTGACAATAGTTCATCAGTTTTGACCTACAAAAGTGGCAATTTCATGTGATTCAACTTAATACTATATTAAGTTGATTAATACAATAATATGATAATACTTAATTAAACTTAATACAATAATTGCCCTGTCTCCATGCCTTTGCACCCTATATGCACTTGCCCTAATATATGACATAAATAGACTATCAAGCATAATTCAAAATGCACAAACATCAGAAGAGAAACCACATGATTGGGACCTTTTAAAAATTAAATTTTTATGTGCTTCCAAAGATTTCTCTGAAAGAGTCAAAAGAGAACCTACAGATTGGGAAAAAATATTTGGTAATAACATATCTGACAAGGGACTTATCTCTAGAATTTATAGAAAACTTCAACATCTCAATAACAAAAAGATAAACAATCCAATTAATAAATGGGCAAAACACATGAATAGACACTTCACCAAGGAGGCTATTGAAGTGGCCAACAAACATATGAAGAAATGCTCACGATCATTAGCTATTGTTGTTGTTGTTGTTATGTGCTGTCGAGTCGGCCCCGACTCATAGCGACCCCTCCTTGGGTTTCCGAGGCAGTATCACTACAGAAGTAGGATT